GACTTGATAGAGTGCATTGTTATTCTGGGCAGCATCATTCACGATATTTTTGAGGTCGAGGGAGCCGGAGTGGGTGGGTATGTACAGTGCTGACGAAGTCGACGTGATTCCTTGCACGCATCAGATGAGTATGGTTGAATAGATTCAAGTTATAGAGAAGCACTACCTGCTATCGAATCGATTTCAATGCTCCCCTTGTATGTGAATGGGGACTGCGAAGACGCTTTTGGGACGAACAACCGGTGATGCAGGTTGACTTGCAGGGCACATGCAGACTGCAAGAGCGTCAAGGTAACCAATATTAGTTCAAACATGAGTTACAAAACGTCCTCGGAATTTCCACGAATTTTTCGGAGACTTGAAAGACGGCGATCGACAGCGTCGGTGCAATACTGCAATACTCCGCCCAACCAACTGCCACCGGGTAACCATCCACCAAGACACTCGCCAAAGAAATTTTATGTGGAAGTGGGGTTAGGGAAATGGCGTCCAATTTACGGTGACAAGGCCTCACATGGCGTTTATCCGTTGGAGAACACTAGGGAGTTGTAACACCTATATACACTCGTACACCTCTTCGACAGCTGGGGTGGTTGTGGTTGCACAGAGACTTGGAGGCCGCATCGAGTCGCTTTAGCCTAATTGATGTTTAAACGCTCGATCGTGTCAGAAAACCCACAATCTAGACAGTGGGAGCCAATATACTATTGAATGCGATAAGGTGGGGTGGACGCAGGAGAGTGCTCTCCTGAACGCCCGCTTATAAAACTACCGAGTACAAAAATCATGGTCGGAGCATATGCGATTTTGAAACTGTCAAAAATTTTTGCTGCTGTCTCGCTCACGGCACTCGCTTGCCGTGTGTGCACCCGCTCCCCTCATAGTAAACTCTGAGTGTTTCTTTCATTCTCTGGATTCGTATAGAAATGTCACATTGATACTATAGCACTAGCAACTTGCGTCTCGGCTGCAATGATACTGTAACCGAGCGAGGACCCCATAATGTATTCAGTAGAGCTACGATGGCGACACTCTCGTGGCATAAGGTTCCAATATACCGTATCGCAACAGAGGATATGGAGGTGAGGATACTGTTACCTTACGTTATGCAGTTTGTGTATTTCCGCCGTTCACTGCCTCCCTTTTTGGTGGGAGCATGGGCATCGCGTTGGGCGATCACATCGTGGACCGGCAAGTTCAGTTCAGGGTATTGCGAACGGCCTCCCTGAGAGAGAGAGAAAGAGAAACACCACAGCGAGGGAGGGGGAAGGGGCCTAGATCGTAGGACGAGTCATGATCTAACCGGTTTTGGAGTCAGAATTTGTCGGCATTATAATCGAAGCATCGTAACCCTGCCCAGGGATGGTGAGGGAGCGGCGTTGGGGGAACGCATCTGTGGTGACTTATTAGCATAATTTGCAGATTTGAGGATTCGGAGAAGGGTGTTAGAATATACGAAAAAGAGAGACGAATTGACGCGTAAATTAATGACTGGTGAACTAGTTGCTAGGGAGACAGAAGGGGCGCGGGATTGGTGGCTGGGTGGGAGGAGGAGGAGAGGTGGCAGAGTAAAGTCCGAAGAGCATCGTATTCTACGAACGAGCCACGATCGTATTAGTGGGCTATGATCGTCCATCTCCACGGTAATCCAGAGCCACGCACTCACGCCCATAACCAAAGGGTTTAGTTGGGGGATATGCGCACAGCGCCTGCTACGAGAGGACGCCGGTGTCGAGAGTGTGTCTGCATAATTTCCGTGATCCTGAAGCCGGACTAGATTTTTTTCGGGACAGATTCTAGCGAGGGCCCATTATGGGTTCTTTCCCAAAAGCGGGGAAAGGCAAGGTTCATGCTCGGATGGGGGCTTTTGGCGAAGAATTAGCGGCCCCAGCCCAAAACCCACAAAAAAAACTAGCAAGTCTGAGCACACAAAAGGGATGTGTCTGGAATCCTATTTGGGCAGTGTCATCCTGTAACATCGGCGGCCTAGCAGCCGCAGGAGCGGGGACTGGGAGTTGCTGTCGAAACAAGACCAGTCAGTATAGCAGTGGTTTCGTATAGACTGGTATTGGATAGCTACGCGGCCATTGTACAGGCAAGTACCTGTGTCGGCCGTGCATATATGGCAAGACTAGACGCTACAACTACCCTTTTGTTCATTTTCTTGTGCTCCGTTTCAGGGCAAGGGAGATTCGAAGAGGGGGGTTGCAGATGAGACGTCTCCTCACAACTCTACAAAAAAAGGAAAAAGAAAGAGGGAGGAACTAACCATAATTGAATGCGAGTTTGAAAGCGGCGGATGCGAAACGGTCAATACTTGAGAAACCCATAATTATTATAAAATATATTATTTTATAATTTCTATAATTTGGCCACGTTTTTGTCAGTTGAATGTCCCAAACGGAGTGGGCCGGCAGAGACCAGCCACTCACACGCCTGTACCTTGGACTTCTCTCCTTTGGTGGGCCATTTGGACTCCCCTCTCCTTCACTCCAAAACTGGGAAACCAGTCTCAAAAAATATCCCATTTAAATCCTCAAAAACCTCTTTGATAACGCGGTTTGCGTCCAACTCGTTTCATTTACGCTCTCTCTCTACCTAGACTCTGCCGGCCAGCGTCACACTCAAGCAATCCGCAACACACACCCCTCTCTCCCTCTTCTCGCATCTGTACGTGCTCTTTTTACTGCTTGCTCGTGTTTGACATAACGCGTACCTGCTCAAACAATACATTTCCGGCATGCTTATAATTTCCGTTCCCGCTCCAGACATGGAATCTTTCGTCGACACTCAATCCCTATCAACGACGGCGT